GATCTGCAGTTCATATGTCATGGCTCAAGGAAAAGGTGTGTGGCGATCTGCAGATGTCATGGCTCAAGGAAAAGGTGTGTGGCGATCTGCAGTTCGTAAATGTCATGGCTCAAGGTTAAAAGTGCACACACTTCTGAAAGCATGTTATAGTTAAGGGGCCCTTGTACTATGGACTAATAATTGCTCACACAAGAACTGAAAGCTTTTGAACTGTCAAAGTCAAAATTATTAAACGGTGAACTTGTGGGGCTTCGAAAACGTATGTTTTCAAACTGTGAACTCTGACTTGACTGGTGGCACCCTGGCCATCCTGTGTGTTTTTGTCGGATGGAATGAACCTGTGCCAGAGATCTTTATTTTTGTCTGCAAGCTCAGAGGCCCGTGCCATTACCGCAAGACATTTTGCTCGGTTCGGTGCCCTTGTGCTCGCGCGCGCTTAGCAGTCATGAGCACGTTCTCTCCAGTTGAAGATTTGCCAGGGCCCGAAACTACTTTCACAGGATAATTCCTCATGCTTTCGAGCGAAGCCAGCCTGGTACAAAGGTCTGGCGCGGAATCGCAGACAGAGACAGAGCATGAAGCGCAGACTTCGACGAAAGTCGGGGACTTGTCAGTTGCCAGCCAGCGGCTCAATACTTTTGGAAACAGGTTCATTATTTTGTGAAGGTCATCAAGTTGCACTTGAAAGAGAAGAAGTTCTTGACTCGAGGGCCTCGCGCACAGGCCCACAGTGTTTATAAAATGTTTGGGTTCCAAGTGGCCCGCGACCCATGCTGTGGAGATTTTCCAGTTGATTGATTGTCCAGGGTGGAAAGCTGCCGCCATGCGGTTTCATCACCCCACAGAAAGCGATGTACGAAGCAAAGGTGCCCCTGAAGCGAGCGCCCCCGCTGGACATCACGTGTGTCTGGCCCCCAGCCCCTTTTAACCTGTTAAACAGTCATTCGTTGCGCGTTTCATTGAGCCAAGGTATGTTCCCAAAGAGCGGGCAAGAAGGATAAAGGAGCTGTTCTTTTTTCTGGCGAGCGATCATTCCGATCATACAGCACCATTCGTAAGCGCCTCAAAGTCAATGTCCAGTCTTTTCTGAAGTTTAATTCTTAATTCACGCACGCTTCAATGCAGCTTTGAGGATGCTTCAGTGCTACCACGACTGTGACTCAGAGCGGTGTCACAGAGCGCGGGATCGGGGATGCTGAACTGCATTATTAAGGCGCTGTTTTTTCTCGCCGGGAAAGGGTTTGCGATTCTGCCTTGATCATGTAAGGATCTTGCCAACATGGTGTACTATTCTACATCCTATCAGCAGGCGATGGCAAAGGCCAAGCTTGACACCTCAGACAAGAGGTTTCTAAGTGTACCAGCCGGCGAATTCCTGTCAGGCCCCTTTCATGAGAGTTTATTCACTGTGAGAGTGATGGCCAGCATGATTTCACTGGTGTCAAACACTTTGAAGCCCCACCTTCAAGCGCCTGGAAACGGAGGTTTGCCAAAGAACTGGACATCGAGCACGCTTGCGGTTGACGTGGCGCAAGTTCGCAAGATGTTCCCTGTGAAGGCCGGTCGATGACCACGTGTTCTGCATTTAGACGCGAGTGCTTTGGCAGGGTGGTTCTCGGATGAGTTCCGTGAGCCTGTTCTCCGGCGTGGGAGGATTGGACTTGGGCCTGGCTCCGTTTCAGCCTTGGAACGTTACTGAATTGAGTTGAATTGAATGTTAGTGGTTCATTCAACTCTTTTTTTCAGCAGCTGTTGAGAAGAGTAGTTGATTCAACGGTGGTTTGCCCATGTTTGTCCCATGGATGCCTGGCAATGTGTGCGGACAGTAGGCATCAACCAAATCCGGTGGCTAGACAGCAGCAATCTGTTCTGAGGTTGTTGTTGAATCCTGACTTGTCACATCCATATTCAAGACCAAAAAAGGTCCGCTAAAAGAGCGAGACAACTTTCTCAGGGTGCCTCGCGATGTCGCAGTGTGGTGCCGCTGGCGTGGCAATGTGTAACTAGGTGATGGATTGAAAGAAAAGGAAGCGCGGCTCAGAATGGCTATTTGCAACAGATTCTTTAATTTTGCCTAGGTATGTGTGGCAAAAATCAGCATGGGTGTTGATTTCCGAAGAGGAAGTCCAAAGTATTGGCGCAACCAAGGTGTGGGGACTTGTTAGATTTGCTTCGTTCCACGTCCGTGTCAGCAGGCCTCCAACCGCCAAGCTCCTGATCCTGGACAGATGAGTCATGAAGCTTCAGGCCAATCCGAACCGCCTCTCAAGAGGACGAAGAGCTGAAAAAAAAACAGCGTTTTGGGTCAGCTTGCTGTTGGAGAATTGTTTCTATTGTTTCCAGAGAGAGACTGGGTTAAGAGTGTAATTTTCTGAGGTTTCTGAAACCTTGCCAGTTTGCTCTCGACTCAGAAAGTTGTGCAGTAGGAGAAACCTGCCAAACATGACTCTGTGCATTCCCTGCTGCAAGGTTGAATGGGACCCCTACTGTCAGTCAGTTTTGACTGCGCGCATGAAAGACGGCCTTCTCCCACAATGTTCTCTCGCGGGAGACGTGTGCAGCTACGTGGTAAAGGGGCGGGCTGCCAAAGCTGATGTCCTGAGCGCTGGCTTTCCGTGCCAGGCCACAGTCTTAACCTACCATCATTATGATGTTGTTTTTTGTTCTGAGACGTGGCAGTGTTGGTTTTGGCCAAGGGGCTGAGCGCTGCTGGATCACAGGGAGGATTATCCGACAGTAGGACAGGACTCTTGAAGACGACGTTCAAAGTGTGGGACCAGATGGATTCACCGTTTTGTTCTCAGGGCTGATGATGTCAAGGGCAGATGTATTTTCCTCAGTTTTCCTTGGAATCTCTTGATTGCAACTTTGCTAGGTCCGTGCTCTTTTTGGAAAATGTGAACGCAATCCTCTCGGAGCAGAAGAACTGCAGAGAACTTTTTCTTTGGCTGGTGGAGGCCAAGCTGGACACTGTTTGGCTTCAAACTGTTGTTGTCCTTGAACTTTTTTCACAGCAGTTATGATATGGACCGTGGCCAGGCATGTTTGCGCCGTGGTCTCCGACTGCAGTGGGTCACCGTGCGGCTGACAAATTGCGGGCTGCCCGCAGCTCACTTAGATAAACCCTCCCAGATTGTTCCAAGGTTCCACGAATTCCGATTTTCCCAGGCCAACAGGGCAAGGACATTCTTGATGGCTGTTCGCCCAGAGTCAGCGGTTCTTCAGGCAGGGTTTTTGCAAGACTTTGATAGCAATAAGGCCAGAACTGTGTTTTGTTGTGAAGTGCTTCTACTTTGTGAAAGACGGCTAATCAGCCTGAACCTAGCGACTAGCGAGTGAAACTGTGGCAGGACTTTTACGCCCACGCAGACCATTTTGCTGACTTGGATTGGAACTCAGCTGGCTCCATCCCACTGACCGAATGGCTGTGTGCGGAGCGTGGGCAAGAGGAGAAGGACGCATTCAACACTATGGGGAACATTGTTGTGCCCCAGCAGGCGTTCACAGCCTGGTGCATTTTGACACGGTTGCACCATCTAGCAACCAACCTCTAGGCTTGCTTTGGTTTAACGTTCCAAGTGTTTGCTATATGTTCTGACTCTTCCAAGATTTTCAAAAATTTTTGAGGGGGTATAAAAACTGACGCAGACAGCAGGCCTGACCATTGGATTCAGTTTGCTGCTCTATTGCATCATGTGTGGAACAGCCGCACGCCACAAATTAGCTGTGATTGTGTTCGATCTTTGGTACAGGCCCAGCAGCTTCTTTTTTAAAGAGTTGTCAATATGCTCAAGATTTTTCAAGCCCTAGTTTGCCTACTTGTTGCGCCTGTGCCTTCAATGCCTCTACGAACACAAGAGTCCAGAAGTTGAGTGAGGGTTGGATGGAAATGTCCTTTTCTGCAAGTGCTTGGAACATGTGTTTGATTTCCTGTTCAATAGGACTGCTGGCAGCCTGCTAGCTGCTAGCCGGAAAGAACTCCTACACCTTCGCTGATTCTGATGCTTCTCTTGTTGTTTCAGGAATCATCATGCCCCACGGCCCCATGGCACATTGACATGTCTTCAGAATTATCCACCACACGCAATTCAATAAATACATGTATAATGCGCCTTCCAGTTTGGTGTTCGAGCGAGGGCCCCAGGTCAGGCAGTTCTTGTCGAATTCAAGCCGACGCATCGATCAAGAGTTCATGTCAACCTACTGTTCCACGCACAGGGTTCTTTGGCAGCGAGACCTGCCGTCATGGATACATTGTCGCCTGTGGGCTCTTTGACTTGCAGCAGTCCAAGCGAAGATGAGAAGCAGGATCCGGGTGAGGAGGCTAATTTTTCCCCATTGGAAGACCTTAGTGGCAGTTCAGATGCAGAAGTGAAGCGTAGAAGAAAGAAACAAAAACAAGTCAAGAATCCTGGGGATAGTTTGACTTGGAAAGAAAGGCTGTGCAGCGAGAACTTCACATGGAAATTGGTCGCCAGCAACTGCGCCTGCAAGCGGGATTGCTTGAAGCAGTTCCAGCTCCCGTCCAAATTCGCAGAAGTGTTTAGCTACAGGAAGGAGTGGGCCCGGTTGCACAAGACAGATCAAGATGTTGTAGTCCTTCGGCTGAAAGCCTGAACCTAGTGAGCGGTTTGTTTTTCCCGACAAGTTCAATGGATTTCATGGAAAGCCTTGTGCTGTGTTTGCCACCGGCGCAAGAAACAATAAATAATCTATCAAATCTTTCGGCGCGCAGGCTTTCACCACCCCTTTATTTCTTTGGGCGTAAACGATGCCCAGGCTTTCGATTTGATGAAGACCATCTACCGGGACAGAGATGAGGCAGAGGCCCACCGGAGTCAATGGATAGTGGCTGGGGTAAACGTGTGCGTGCGAGCGTGGCAGATGCTCCACGGAATGGGATCCTCAGCTTGAAAAAACCAGGAGGATATCAGGTTCAAAAGATAGTAGGTTTAAGCATGTCGGCGCTTACGCTTTTGAAATCGGTGAAGTGCGCAAAGGTTCATCACGGTTTAGCCGGCTGGCCAAAGCGGCGCAGAGCGGCGCTGTGGTTCCTCCAGCGGACATCCGCTACCTGAAGCGCGCTGCGGCGCCAAACCTTGGTGGTGATTCGGCCACGGGTCGCATTGTAGCCCATCTCCAACAGCTTTACGAGTCGGTGGCAGAAACATTACCAGACTTTCGTGGAGAGACAGATGTTGTGATGGCGAAGCGTGGTGAGATAGGTTTGGAAGACGAGTTAGAGGATTCCTACGCAGAGGGTCTCAAGAGCTCCACCAAAGAGTTTGAAGACCCAAACTCTTTTGTGACTGGCCGCACGAGGAAGAAGCGGAGGCGGAAGAGCGTAGTTGTAGATCCGGAGAAAGTTCCGCCGCGAGAGCCACGGTGGCTTCCCCCTGGTGCCACCATGAAAGATTATTGGGAACAAATGAACCTGGTAGAGCCCCACGCCCCTGTGAGTTTTTCCCAATTTTGGCGAGTTCCCTGGCTATTTGCAAGTAACGTTGTTTAGCAGAGTTCGGTTTTCTTTTCTAGGGTGAGTTTTGTCAGCGCCGCGTGGCAGCGCGGTTGAAGATTAGGTGTGGAATGAGCATTTTGGGGAGCTGCGATTCCGCGCTGCTACGCAGCACAGCGTTTGCACAGAGTGCTTAAGGCACAAATCCCTACTTCGCCAGCTTGGAAATTTTCTGGCAGCTCGCAACGCTCAACAAGAACTATATGGACGTCACCTGAAGGCCCAATACTGCGACCGGGCCACGTACTGGGCCAACCGTGGTGTTAGCAGGGCCCGCCACACGGGTTACATCCTCATGACCATCGACTCGATGGACCAATCGAAATTCCTGTTTCCTCGTTCTGACAAGTCGGAGTTTCAGTCCAAAGAGTTGGCTGGGCTACAAAGACCCAAAGCCCACATCACCCTCTGCCTGTGCCACGGGTTCTTCTTACTGTTCACGATCGCCGCGGCCGACATCAAAAAGGACAGTTCAACCCACATGGACATCCTGATGCACGCTTGCCACCTGCTGGTTCGGGACTACAACATAAACCTCGCTCAGACATTCATCAACATACAATCAGACAACACCTCACGGGAGACCAAAAACAACACGTGCATGAGGTTGATGGGGCTTCTCACGGGACACGGACACTGAGACACTGACTAGTCTTTGCTTTTCTGGCAAAGGTCTGAAAGTTAGTGTGTTCAACCAACAGATTCACAGGCCTCTTCTTTCCACCCTTAAGGCTTGGTTCGTGGCTGTGCCCTGACCTGTTTAAGGTCAGGGCACAGCCACGAAGACATCGACCAGATATTTGGAGCGTTAGCGAAGTGGTTGTTGAGGAAGGGTCGAAGAGCGCAGGTTCCTGAAGATTTCCGCTTGCTGATCACCGACTTCATGAGCGATTTCCACCGACCAAACGAAATTGGTCGTTACGCTGTCATGCTGGGACAGACTCGAAGTTGGACCTTTTGCTGATTAACTTTTGTAAAAACCTAGAGAGTTTCAGGGCGTTCTTTCGTATGTCGTTTTGACTTATGTTAGTTATATGTATAATGTATGAATATGTCCATATGTGTTATGTGTATATATATACACATTATTAGACCTATTTCTAAACTCACATAGGGAAGGCGTTGTGATTGCAACATGCTGCCCCGACGTTTTTGTTCTCCACACGTTCCTTTTGTGCTGGCACCTAAAAATCAATAGGAGAGATGACAAAACATCATCACATCTGTCGCCAAAGAGTTGGTTTTTAACCACCTTAGATAGGCTGCGCTAGGCTTTTGTCAAGTTCATTCCTTTGCGGCTTCCTGAGGAAGGGCTTCCTCTCCAATGCCCTGCCAGTGTTCCTCAAAGGAACCGGAGGACCAGGAGCCCCACATGAATTCCGGATGGACAGAAGGGAGATGATCGGCCACTTGAAGTTGCGAAGTATGATCTCTGTTCGCTCTCCAGTTTCAGCCCTTTTGCGCACCACCATCCCCGAGACATGGGGTCTGACCCCCACAGGTCCTATTTGCCATTCCACAGTAATGGGTTTAGTGTAAGACTTGTGGGGGTCAAAAGTGTTCGGGAATTGGGGCTGTCGCAGTTATCTCCAGGTGGAGAGGTCGAAATCCTTGACGACTATGGTTACAACGTGCCACCAGATCCGCGTGACGTCATTCTTCGGTGTTTGGGCTTATTACGGCGCAAGCAGGGGTAAGAGTTGCATTTTTTTAGGTGGGCTTGGGGTGTGTTGATGATGAGGATGATGATTGTAGGTATGTCGTGTTTCACTTTGCAGCCGCAAAGTGGCTGCGTCTGGCAAGGTGCCGGCAGTACATGGCAGACCCTGCGTGGAGGTGCTGCTTCCTCTATGTTCCTCACAGCGCAATTCTGTCGCAGGTGCCACATGGTTCACCTGCAGGCGCATGAGAACTATCGACGTCATGTTCGCTGTGTGATTCGTCCCGGGTGGTATGCTTTGTTGATTTGGTTCGTGGAATCCCTTTTAGGGCTGGCTGACAAGAATCCGATGACGGAGAAGTACCGTGAGCACTTGAAGCATTACATTCCGTTGCTGGAGAAGTGGGGGTTTGGCGAGGCAGCTGTCTACTTTCAGCGGTGGAGCAATGGTGACCTGCAGGATCATCCCCCATTGGAAATCAGCAAGCGCCAATAGCTGCACTTGGGGAATTACAAAATAATTGTAACCAGCAGGGATTTCAAGGCGCTTCTAGGAAGGTAGCCTTTTTCAAGGTTCAAGCAACCAGTCACTAAGTCAAGTAAGCTTGGTTTGTGTTTGCAATGTCTCAGCAGCGCAAAGGGTTGTGGGTGGAGCTGAGCCTTGCCTAAGGTGCTTTACTAGTGCCCCCAGCCTGGAAGCGCATCCAGTACACTGCCAGGGGTTCTTGCCGGCGCCAAACCCGGTGAAGTTGTTCGCTTGGAACGACAATAGTGGGAGGTAGGGAAGCTTTCAGGTGCTTGCCACTGTTGTTGCAGAGTAGATAGCTTACGGGGGCATTTCAAATAGTAAACGAAACCCATAACTGATTATATAGTTATACCGACCTGAGGCTGGTAAAGGGCGGCCAAGACGACCGGAAGGATGCCAACCGATATGCGGTTCGGGCTGCGGAAGCTATTACACTCCAAGCCGCGGCTGCAGCTTGGGCTCGTGGTGTTCCCTGGGCGAAGGCCCTTGACATTGCCACCAGAGCTGTGGCGAAGGCAGATCCAAAGAAAAGGGCAATGCCGAAGGCATTTGCCCGTGGCCGGGGAAGGCGTTAGCCACAAAAAAAACACTTGTGGTTTGGGCACCAAAATAGTCTTTCGTTGCTGAGCAATCGTCTTCCTTGCGATGTGTGGTTTGGGCTTGAAGGGCAGAACATCTGCGAGTGCTTTAAGCATGGTGCAGCGACACGACTGTGCCTCTTCAACCCCTCAACTCTAGAAGTTAGGTTTCTTTGCAATCCCAAGCAAAACGGAAAATACAAAACCCTAAACCCTAAACGTTGTGGTAAAAAAACGGGCAGCATTTCGTTCCCCCGAAGAATCACCAATTGGGTTGAATATTCAACTTGGAAAAGGTGACGGATCCAAGGTCGGATCCATCACCTTTTCCAATCTGGGGGGTGACAGCTGTTCCCAAAATATTGAGGTTTTGGAAGATGGTATGTGAAGCTGGGTTTTTGTGATGGATCCGAGGTTGGATCCGTCACCAAATGATTGGTTTTGGGACGAGTGGTTTGGTGATGGATCTGAGCTCTTGAGGTTGTACTTCCTGGGCAACTCCTCAGAACCTAGAATAGGCAAGGGTATGGTTTTGATTTGGAAGTTCTTGGAGTAAAGCCGCTTGGCAATTCACACGCAACCTTGGTGATGGATCTAAGGTGAGTTCCGTCACTTCGTAGAGTGACGGGTTTGGGTAGGATCCGTCACTGTTGGGCTGACGGCTTGAGAGACAGTTCTCGATTCTGTGACTCGTGCTTTTTGGGAAAGAAACCTAGCTGGTTGAGATTTGTCCAAGCCACTGCAGATGTATAGCCTGCGCGCGCGGCGAAATCAAGTTGATCAGGGCAGAGCCCATTGCGGTGAGTTTTGCTATTTGGCAGGGCGAATGGAGCTTCGTAATCCCTTTTGCAGACCAAGTTGCTCAATCGATCGGCTGATGTTGGGTTTGATGTTTTGATGTTAACTGCAATCTGTTTCTTTTTCGAGAAATTGTGGTTCAGTTTGCATCTGCGGCAACATGCCGCCCGCAAAGCGGAGATCAGGAGGGGGGTCAGGGGGACAAAACCACAAGCTTGCGAGGAAGGGGGGTGCTGATGATTTGGGCAGTCTCCACCCACACATCAAGCTTCTGACTGATTGGCCCCTTGGCTGTTTCAGGAATGTTCGTTCCGCCGGTCGGACTCTAACTATGATGGGGCGTGCCGAAAAGCCTGCTGCAGGCTTCATCATGAAGTTGTTCCTGCTGGAGGACCAGACGCATGGTTGGAGCGGGAATACCAAACGAAGGTGGGGTCCGCTTGTCAGCCGATACCTGCAGTGCATGTGTCTTAGTTGGTGGGTTCTTTGCTCAGGACAGCTCCAATTGCGGCGTCTAAAAGTGATATGTAGGTTGAGACTTTAGATCGCAATCTTTCATGCGCATCGCTTAGAGATGTTTTGCTTCACGTTTCATACGGTCCCTGCAAATTTTTAAGAATAGACTTCTGAGAAGCGAGCAATCTGCTCCATCCTGAGATCTGGTACCAATGGATGGTATGTCCACTTGTTGACATTGCAGCATCGACCATAAGCTTTGCCAGGATGCCAAGATGGATTTTGCCAAATGGCTTCACGAGTCATTTCCGCCGGACACCAGGCATCCAGACTGACAAGCGACCAACCATTCTGTTTTGCTTGGCTTTGTTTTTGGCAGGGTGACCTATTCATCCAGCATGGAGCCTGGAAGCAAGATCATCCGGATCTATCAATGCGCTTGGCGGGCAGACTTTGGCCTGTCCCAAATGATTGAGCCAGATGAATTGACCCTGTTAGCTGAGCTGTACCTTTTTGAAGGGTTTCCTTCCTGCAAAAGATGAGATGTGGTTTGATGTTCAGTAGGTGGCTCGTTGCAAACAATACTCTCCGCATGAGGTTCCGTACATCGGCCGACTTGCCGGGGGTGGAAAGGGTGGCCATCACGGTGCCACCCAAAAGCTTTCTTGAGAAGCCCTACCGACCGCTTGAGGAGCTTCACCCAGGACTGGTCTAACTGTTTGTCAACATCCAAATTGAGCTCCAGAGAAGCAGGTGAATGTCCACAGTCCACACCTTGGCCAGCAGGAGACGGCATTGTTCCTTTTAGCGTCGGCTACACCAAAGGATGGCGTCGTTGTGTCACCGCTCTCATCGTTTGCGCTGGGATCCGCAAGCTGAACATCCGCCTTGCAGATTTGACGCAGGAGTTCCAGGTTCGGACTACGCCCAAGAGTGGTCAAGCCAGGAAGTCTGTGTTTGGTTCTGACATTATTACACTATATATACAAAGGTGTTTTCATACAGGGGCCTGTGTTCAAACACACACTAGACATTGCAATTTCTGGGTTGGATGGTGCCCTGAGTCGAGCATCCGCAGCGTGCACGGAGTGGTTGGGAACTTTGCTTCTGTGAAAGAACAAGTCCATTGCAACCGCAGCGTAAGCATGGCCAGCTCCGCTACACGGAAGGCCCCCAATGCTTTCATGTTTTGCCGACAGATTGATGTCCTAAAGCGGGCCAGTTCGGAGGCCGATTCAGCTACCGTTCTTTGGCTCAGATTGGGATTTGAAGTTTCAGTGTCAGACCAATTTTGTTGTAAATGTCAACAATGAAGACTATATGTGACTACATCCAGTTTCAGAGCAAAACCTTTGTGGCAAACTGGACAGGTGGCCGGGGTAACTCTTGACAACAAAAAGGTAATTCAGGTCGCTAGATTCTGCAAAGTGTGTAGCATCTCTTTGGAGATTTTGTGAACATCCCACCATCCAAAATGATTCAACTTCTGGTGTTTCTCACGCAAGGAATGGGAAGACGCCAGCGCCATTGCCAGGGCTTACAAAATTGGCCGATGGGAATCTCAAGCGATTTCCAATTTGCAGCACCGCATGCCAGCGGAAGTATCGAACGCACTGAAGGCAGCCATCAAGACTCGTGGCATGAGAGGCTTCATTCTACACGAGGTTGTGGGCCGAGACATATTCAATCTAGCTTACAGCTCTGGCACTGAAGCTCTTGAGGTTTGGCATTCGCAGTTGACCAACAGCGACGACAACCAGTTAGTTTTTCGATTTTGTTCAGTAAGGTGTTTCTTTTCGGCATTTAAACAAAGATATCCCATGAAAGCTTGCGGGGGGCCCCAACAATGATGCGACCCATAAGAAGGCTTACGGGTCGCCTCATTCTTGTGGCCTGCTTTCCTTTGAACACGCAAGTGCAGTGGAATTGCAAGGTCTTGCTGCTGATCGAGCGCATGAGCCGGGACTGGGATCGTGTTCCCCTCAAGAAGCCTTGGGGTTGGAAGGACACCAACTCTCTCCATTCTCGATGTGGCCTCTACTTGTATTTCAGATCTCTACTCAAGTCCACCGTCTCCGACGCAGACTTTGCCAGGGAGGAACCCAAACTGCGCGACCAGTTCTTGCAGGGGTATTTGGACGCTGACATAGAGCATGCGTTGCTCCATAGTGCCCCTCCAGGAGATTTGAAGAGCATCGGCGTACTGAGGAGTGGTCCTGTTTGCGTGTCTGAAGCATGTTTTGATGTTAACCGCAATTTTTTGGGGTATATTTTTGTATAAAATCGCGGACCCTATCTGCCAAATGCTTTCACCAAATTAAATTCTCGCAGGAAGCTTTTGGAGGAGACAGAATCCCAGAAGAGGAAGGAGATGGAGACCAGGGATCTTGAGCGGGTTGAGAAGGTAGCCAAAGCCAGTTTGGAGCTCTTGCAGGGCCAAGTCGAATCTGACATGGAAATATTGCGGAAGGTTGCTCCTTCACCAGAGCGGGAGGCGCAGGAAGCAAATCTCGACGTGCAGTTCTTGAAGCAGCGGCAGTTGAATCTTGATTTGTGAAACTTGCATTTTTGTAGACGAACCTTACAACTACATTCTACTGTGGGCAGTGCCAGGTGTTTTTTGTTCTTGTCGCGGGTCACTGTAGCACGGGTCCCTTCTTTGAGTAGACTGATGTAACGGCCGCGTCATGTGAATCGAAGTTTGATGGGCTGAGGCAGGGTCAAGCCCATGTGCGCCAGTGGATGGCTGACAACTTCAAGATTCTGGTGCAGCCTGAAGATCAGATGCCAAGGGTTTTGAGCGAATTTGTCAAGTTCAAAGGAGATACCGCTGCCGGCCAGCCCTTGACGCATCTGGGTTCAATTAGGATTTTGCTTTCTGGCCTGTTGCGTTTTTAGGCCTGGGGCCCTGGAATGAAGCCAGTTGACTCCAAGGGTATAACTTGTTCCAGCGTCAGTTTCAGACGAGGTATGTGCTGGTGCTCGTTGATGCAACAGTGTATCCACCCAATGCTGCGTACTTGGAGGCAGCGCTGCAGGCAATGACTACTGTCCTGAACTTTGGAGGCCATGCTGTGGGACACGTCCAGCACCCAGTCAATCAGTCGAACACAACTCCACAAGCCCTCGTCAAACACAAGAGGCAGATCGAGGACAGCATGATCAGCAAGGGCTTGGACACCCAGCTGACTGTTTCTTTGGACTTCGTCAAGCCAGCGGACGCAAGCCAGAATGACAAGCGGCGTGGCCTTCAGCTCGCTACCGCCGCAGCAGCAGACAGTGGTCGACTGCTGTGGAATGTTCCAACCATCATCTCCCCTTTGCCACTGATCAAGATGATTGACATGCTTGGCTTTGAGGACTCAAAGCCGGGGCCATCAGCCCGAGCAGAGCAGTCCCTTTGCTGCGTTGAGATTTCCAAAGCATTAACCTTTAAATTTTGCTTGGTAGCCAGTGTTACAGTTGCCAGTTGAAGTTTGTTGGAAAAACACATTTTCTACCGCCGGCGTGTTGCGACGCGACAAGGAAAGGTGTTGGGGCCCACACAAAGATCCTGTCAGCCTATTTGACCGGGGTGAACTGGGAGATCGACCAGTCGCTTGTGGTCCTTGATTTGGTTCCAAACAGGATTGATGGGCAAAACCTGTTATGGATGTTGTTTTAGATTTGCCGGAACGCCTCGATCAAACGTCTCGAGTGTCGTGCTCATGGCGCTGATGCTTTCTCGCAGGCAATGTGAATTTGCGCGGGCCATCATGGATCGGCTTCTCGCAGGCAATCAGCGCCCAAAGATCAAATTCTTTTTGGTGCTGAGGCCAGATCAGAAGGATGTGCTACATCAGCTGGAGCAGCAGGTTTACAGTCATTGGGACAACAGCAGCACCGCCCCGCCGAAGCAGCGAGAGCGATCCCGCCAGGAACAGCCTCAGCTTCAAGTCTTCTGTTGGGCGGGAGGCGCCCCCCAGATGCCTGAGGCGGTCCTCAAGAAGTTCCCCCAGGGAACTCCGCAGCACCAGGAGGTCTTGAAAATGGAAGCAGAACTACGGGCTTTGTGGCCGGCAGCTGCGGCGCCAACCTCAGATTCCAGGTCCAACGCACCGCGGGTTTCTGCGATGCCTGACCTTGCTGGTGCAAAATTCGTGGACTTGAGCCGAGCAGTTTCCCTTCCCAAGATTGACGTTGCTGGCTTCAACGTGCCCAGGCTCGCTGGAACCACATATTGTTGTGTATTGCGGTTGTAAGAGTTTGCTGATGTTGTTTTGTTCTGGATGAAGTTTTAGAAACATGCTGACGGCCGGCGGCGATATGTTTGGCAGGCTTGCTTACTGCGCGGGCAAAGGGGGAAGGCCTTCGATCCTCATCTCGACGAGTTTCGAGGTGTACCTCGGCAATTTGACCAACGAGGAGTTGAAGCTGGAACCTTTAGATCTTTTCGGCTTTAACACTGGCCAGTGGGAGATGAAGATAATCAAAGGCAGGGTAATCGGGAAACATGTCCAGTTTCTGTCGTGAAGCCCTTACATCGCATAATACTCCTTTGGCAGCTGCTTTCACTTTCACTGTGATAGGAGCAAAGCAAGGTATATGATGTTGGGATTGTTGTTGTAACAGTAGTTGCATTTCACATCCATTGGCCCCAGCTTTCATTTGCAAACAATTTTATTGCCACTGTCCAAGGTCCATTGTTTTCGTTTCTTAAATGCACATTTGACTGTTGTTCTCGAACTATCAGCCAAGTAACCATGGTTGCTCATTGAACTGGTGCTTCTCACCCTGAAGCTGTTCTAGATTGTCATGCCCGCTCTTTGGTCCTTCTTTCTTCGCCCCGCTGAGCGCAGATCTTGGCCAAGCTGAAGCAGCAACTCTTCCATGGCGCTTGGCCACCGACACCACGTATGTGGCTGTTGACAAGAAGCCAATCTTGCTGTGCAGCTACATTTGCCAGCTGGCCCGGGAGCAAGGTCTGGCCGACATCCAAATCTCAGACCACGTTGTGAACCCGAAGATGAGACCGCAGGCAGGTTGACGCGGTGGGGGTTTGTTCAGGTTTGTTTCCATTTACGGTTGCTATGCCAGCTGTGTAATGATCAAGTCCTCTAGCTTTGTTACTGTTGGTGATCGTGCTGAAAAGGAGGGATCCGAAGAGCCTTTGCCCATGCCGTTTCGCTACGAGATCCTTGCAGACCCATCGAACAAGACCAACTGTTTCCGGCCCAATTCTCTTGGAGCTTCCTTCAACCACGAGACCCACAAGCCCAACACGGTCGGCGCTTGCTACATTGGACAGCTCAACAAGGTATTCCAACAGCACCAGAATGATAAGATTGCTTTGGTGTGGGAGGCTCGCTACTTGAACTTTGTTTTTTGCCTCCAGACAGGGGTGACTTTCAATTTTTGGGGAGGTTGTCGGTCGCAAGCCTTTCGCAGGTTGGGTTGCAGACGGGGTCATCAACGCCAAAGATCAGACCTTTGAAACCAAAGGTCTACCTTTTGTGCAACATGCGCTTAGCCCCACAGACTTGGATGAAAGTGGGGTGATCGCCGACGTCGTTTTCCAAAGAGTTTGTCGTTACGCAGCGCTTGCCCACTGCAAAGTCGATACATAATGAACTGGTTGGTTGCAGCCTAGTTCAGTTCTATACTTAGACATTGTGGTGATCTGTCATTGATTTCGAAGTGGGCGTGCATTTTGACTGGCTGCGTTTCGAGCCTGAATGATAGAGTTCTTCGCCGGGTGATGGCCCCCAAGGCCACCCACCCTTTTTGCAGGCTGGCAGTTCTCAAGTGGGATGACTGCAGAAAATATCATCTCTTGCTTCAGACATAACCATCCGTTTTCTGTCTGGGGATGTGAATGCGCCGGCGGTATGCTATGTAGAGATTGCTGTATGTTTGCAGGCGCCGGGCTGAGATCGCAAGTCGTTATTTGGAGGTTAACCGGTGCCTTTCCCAAAGCCATGGGAATGATGGGGGCTTTCTCGCCGGTTGATCAACTTTCCGGGAGCTCTGCAGGTGAAGATGAGGCACTGTGACATCTCATTGTCCCTTGTTTCATACGCATATAGAAATCACGCGCAATACAAACATTGCGACATATATTATGTCAGTGTCAGGCGCCGCCTCCCGTGAAGCGCCCTGCTTCAAGTGCGAAGACCTCCCCAAAAAAAACCGAAGACAGAGACTGCGCCAAAAGAACCCATGGCTCCTAGCGAGGAGGCGGCAGCGACAGCCAAAGCAAAGGGTCAGCCCAAGAAGCCAGCAAAAGCTAAGGCTCAGCCCAAGAAGCCAGCAAAAGCTAAGGCTCAGCCCAAGAAGCAACCAAAGGAGCACAAGGAATCGGAACAGGAACATGACCAACCAGAGGAGTCTGGTGACGCAAAGCCAATTCTGAAGCGCCCCGCAGGCCGGTAAACATGTAATGTTTTTGGCGGAACATTCTGAATAACACTTATAGTCCTTGATTCCCCCACCAGGTAAAAAGAACGCTGAAAAAGTCTTTTCGGGCAAAAGTGGAAACGTCTTCTACTACAGTGGTGGCAACGCCTGGGGTGTGAAGGTTGGCGACAAGCAGGCTTTTGCAGTTCCTTGTTTGCACGCCCTCCCAAGTTCGGCAATTGCAATTTCTCAGGATGAAGCCGGGTTCATTCAGTAGACGTTGGTTTCTAGTATCTTAGGTTGGCGGCAAGAATCTGAGCTCGGCTAAATTGAAGGAGATAGCTGCCCGCTGCTTATTACGATCTGGAATGCATTTCCTTGAGGCGCTCGTTCTATTTTCATTGTGCGTCGGTAAGGAAATTGGGCGAGAGCATCTTCTCAAAGGGGACCGTGTTGACTATGTCCGGCAGATGGTAGCGAGCGCCTTATCATTCTGTTTTTTGCGGGTCACTTGACAACGCTTGAACAGAGACCTGCCCCCTGCCGAGTTCGAGATGAAAGACCAGCTGGTTCAGGCTTCTCAAGCTACGGTTGCTCGAGGTGTCGTTTGTGTGTGTGTGCGCGTGGCTTTGCGTTGCGTGGAGTGTGAATCAGTTTTTTGAAGGCTAACCGCGAAACAACCATTTTCGATCTTCATTTTTTGGCAGGCTCGGCAGGTCATGCGCGCCCTGAAGTTTCTGAGGGCCAGCCTGGTGAGAGTGCCAGCGCCGAAGCGTCCGCTGCTCCCTCCAAAGAGTCGGAGTTGGGTTTGGTAACTGAAGCAGAGGCCGAAGAAGAGGCCCATGAAGGTGAAGAGGAGGAAGGTGAAGGTGAAGGCGATGAAACTATCGACCTTCCGCCTGACATCGAGTGAAAGACGGAGATCTGACAGAGCCCAAAACCTGGCACTTTGAAGCGGTGCGCTGGAAAAGGTTGCCCTGATGGGCCACCAAACGAGGTGTCAAATTCAACGTGCGTTACAAAGTTAGGGCCAAAGAACAAGGGTGTGTGTGTGCTGCAAACTGTATAGATTTACGTTTGTTTTCGGAAAATCATTATTTAAGAAGTTAACCTTTATATAGTCGGCTCAAGAGGGTGGCGAGTCAAATTGGAAAACACAGTGGCGCGAAGTGACCATGGGATTAGTTTGCTGCGGCCTGTTTCAACGCTTGGTTGAATCTAGGGTGGTGATTGAAAATGCTTCATGGCAGCGGAGCGGACGAACAAGAAGAAACAAGAGAACAGGAGTACAGAATCAAGACTAAAATAAGACACATATAAAGTAGATACACCCCAAGATCCCCACATACTTTTTCCTTGAGCCATGACATATGAACTGCAGTTCCAGGCCAAGATCACCACACACCGAATCATTCCCACACACCGATTGGGAAGAAAATTCATTTAGGACACAATCTACAGCAGAATTTCTGTAGGCGTTCACCTGCATCCTCAGGGAAAGATCGCAGTAAGCGCTTGGCTAAGGCTTCTTGCACACCAGAAACAGTAGGAGAACAGTCCAATCGTCTGGCGACTTGCTCGAGCTTCCAAGCGACAGGGCGCTGCGTGTTGGCCAACAAATCAAGACACTCCATCTCTTCTGCTTCTGGAAACCAATGCTTACAGAAATCCTGCAAAGGATGAAACTCCTCCTTGCCCTTGCCCTCTTCTCTCCATCCAGGGATCGAAAACATCAGAGCACGTTCAGCCGCAGACCGCCAGAGCACACCACGCAAGGCATCGCCTTCCAAAGACAAGCATTCAACTCTGTAACCAGGCAGCGGTGCAAAGTCTGCAGGATAAGCTTTCTGGGTCCTCACACGCGCCTCCCTGCTGTTGAAATATTTGGCAACCCTCTTCGCCTTAAGTCTGCCTGCTGCTTCTTCTCGGGTAAAGAAGAACATCCCTGGAGATCTTGCCAGGCCAACAAATCATCATGCAGAGCAACCACCTCCTGGGCTATACCACTGCGGTCCAATCTCGACTCCAAAACGGTCACCGGATTGTGCCACGCGCGCAAACTCTGACGACAAGCAGGGTGTAACAAGCGCGCGACCAGAAACCACGCAAAACGAGACCAATCCTCTACCTTCTTGATTCTGGTTTCCATTCACATGCACGACGCACTCTCGTCCAGATGTCTTTCCCAGCCGTAGCGCCGCATCAAACTGCGCAACAAGAGTTTGTCTGCCTCATCATATCCACGACTCTCGTGCTTGTGCTTCAATGCGCCCAGAACCGCCTGCGCACAGAAACACGGGAAAAAAACACACGAACAAATATCCAATCAAATCAGAAAATCATTTCTCCGAACCAAACGTCCAAGCAAATATTCCAAACGTCCAACGCACGCAGCCGATCCACCTCCAAAACATCTTCTCGATCCTCGAAGCCACTGTCTGGCTCCACTGCTGGTCCAGCTTGATGACACGTGGCCAGGCTCCAGAGTCGCTCTGCTACCTCCACTGGATCTGCGATCCCAGCAATCCACCAACTGCCACCAACCTTGCGTCCAACATATATTCGATGAAGACAGCATATATATGTTTTCGACCGAATAAAAAAAACAAACATCACACACCAAAAAAACATTTCGGTCCACACATGCCTGGCCTCTGCGCTGTAGAGGACGATTCTCCAACAAAACAGCCAGCAAACTAATGCACTGTATTCCAGACACACGGTCTGGCCATCTGATGCTTTGCAGTTGTTCCATCGCAGTAGCCCAAGTCTCTGGCACTTCAGCTGGAAACAGAACATTCAAAGCAGAAAGGTGCTGCAAGATCGCAACGGTGGCCTGGCTCAATTGCTCCAGCTCCGCGGCCGCGCCTCCGTGCCTCCTCTCTATACTTTCAACCGGAACATTTTCGCAAACACTTAGCATAGATCGCCGCAACTCCGTCGCAGGAAAACTTACTGCTGCCTTTGCTACGAGGTCTGCTGCAGGAACGGTCCGGCGCTCTTTCACATCATCTTCAGCGCCAGGCGCTCGCAGCGGACAGAGCGACAGACAATGCTATCCACTAGCCTGTTACGATGCATGTGCTCGCACGGTAGGCCCAACTCGGAAGCTATATCCACCAAGGACGGCTCAGCGTTCCTCATATGCACCCGCTTCAGACGCCCTCGGAGGGTCGGTGGCGCTTGGTCTCCCAGCTCCCGCGCCAAGCGTCGCAGTGACTCCGCAGTCACCGGTTCCTCCGCAGTGATGCTTGTGCAGAAAAATTCAGCTTGGGTATCATATTTATACATTGTAAGCAATGTTGAACTATACACTACGCCCATCCCCTAACACAGGTTAGGTGTCTTATATCTAGATATCTTTTTCTTCCCAGTCCCAACTTCGCGCACAGCCGGCGCACGTCGGCCGTGCTCTTTGCCTCCAGCTCGGCGCGCAGCCATGCCGCGCCTCCCTCGCCATGCCCCTCTCACAGGCGCTGAACCTCTTGCTCCTCCAGGGGAAGTGGTAACGTTCTTCACTCTAAATGTACTGAACCAACCCCATCTCGCAAGCGCTGTACCTCTAGCTCCTGACCTACGAACGAACGAACGAAACGTCTAGTTGTCGGTAATATATACGTACGGTTTCTGCGCCGCACGAAAATCTCCAGCCCGTCCTCCGAGTTTCGCAGAACGGCGTCCTGCTCACACGTCTGTTTCCAGACCGAACAAACTGACGACACCTACACACACATCTTGTTCTACACCGACTACACCTACAAATCACAAACCCGTCCTCCAGAGCAGCCATGGTCAGTATGCCTATTTACGAGAAGCTTATGGGGTGTGTTGAAACTGCCTTAAAACAAGTACATTCTTCATTGCTGTTGCCGGCTACGATCTGGCGCTAGCTGGCCCAAGTTCTATGGAGACTTGTGCAATCTCACTTTGAGCACCAAAAGGTAAGCTATGCAAAATGCACAAATGCATGGCAACCACACCGCTCTCCGGATAACGTTTTCTTCACTTGAGATGTGGTTCATCAACCACTGTACTGGTCATTTTCTCATCGACTGTCCCAAAAAAGAACGTGCCCAAGTAGCTTCAGGTGACACGCACCAGCCATTGCCTATATCTTCGCGCGCTCTCTCTGCTCAGCTCGCGACTCGCCTGTCATACGGAAAAGATTCCCCGAAAATATGTCTAGCTACGTCCTTGTTGTCCTTCCGCCGAACGACGTCCGCCTTAAACG